TAAACAAGTTTTTAAATTTTCTAAAAATTGAAAGAAAATTTTGTGAGCACATAATGAGATTTCAAAATGTTATTTATAATTATTAATAAATTTTTTATGAATTTTTCAAGAAAATAGCATTTTTGAGAAATCATAAATTTTATATACTATAAATTAATAAAAAAAAGAAATTGAAGGAAAAATCACACATAGTTTTTATAATTTCACGCAAGTGCGTCAAGCAAAAATTTCAGTTTTTGTTTGTTTATTATATGATTTATAGAACAAAAACTATGCCAGTTTGAAATTTTTTAGTTTTGAAAAAATTAAAATTTTTGAAAATTTTTCTATAAAAAAAACTCGAATTTCGATGTATGTCTAAAACTTCTATTATTTTTAATGTTCTATCAGCAATCGCGCTTTGTGGCAATTTTGGTTCCAAACACACCGGTATTTCACTTTGACTTTTTTTTAAGTGGATTTTTTTTAGAGGGTCGAACTTACTTTATCAAAATCTATATTTAATTAAAGATAGATCTTTACACAATTTTATTACAAAAATGTTGTTGTATAAATACATTTGAATTTTTAACAAGTATTTACATTCTGTACATATGAAAATAAATTTCTAACTACATTTCATAACTTATATACATCGACACATCACAGCTGAATTATTGTTAACTTATAATCAGTCTTCCTGCACTTGTAAACGCAGCTGTTCGATCTCATCCTCGCTGCTCACAGAGCAATTTAAAATATTCATCTTTTTCTTTTTAGTACGTTTCGTATTCTTGTCAAAACAGAGACGTTTTCGTCTGTTTTGTTCCAATTTCTTTTCCATTTTATCTAATAACAAATCATTATGGAGTATGCTTGGTTCCACGTCTTCCGCAACGCAAAACGAATCCTAAAATCATAAGTAAATAGATATTTAAATAGTATTTTATTAAATTTTCGTATATATAAATTGAATCGATTATTCGTACAAGTCGAAGGTAAAGTTTGTAATACGTTAATATACGCACATAAAGATACGAGTTTTGAATTTGCGACGAAAGCTGCGAATAGATCTCTGTATTTAGATCAGGTGACCGTGGTTCCCTAAAATGAAAAGCACCTGGTTTCTTTATCGGACTCTTAACAGTTTGCAGATAATGCGCATGCATATCGACTTGTTCCTGCGAGAATTGTGTATAGCTCACAAAATCCCCAAAATCTTCGTCATCTATAACGATCTCATCCGAACTGACATCAGAGTCTACTTCAGCTTCGTCATCTATAAACTCGTTTTTGACATTGTTTTCACATTTGAGCCTATGCTTGCTTTTCTTTGCGATTTTTTCATTCAAAGGAAAGATTCGCTTTGGCACATCAGGGTTAGATTTTAAAATATTTTTTTCTGCTGTATTGTTCACATATTTATCAGGCGCTTTGAAGAAACTTAAATTGATCGCACTCGAATCCTTCTGGGCTTTGTTTCGTTTCAAAGACAATTTCGAATGTCTATCATCTTTCGGTGTTGATATACCACATGGTTTAAGATTTTTCGAGATATCAAAATAATTGTGTTTCACTTTCAAGCTTTTCGATGTATCATCAAGACAATCATTTCTAATTACTGAGTTTTTCGATGTACTAGGCATGTATCTAATATCATCTTTCAAATTTTTCGATGAGTTGCGAAAGTAACAACTTTCAAGCTCATTAAATTGCTTAGCACTGTCTTCCGTAATCATGAAGTCTTCGTCAGAATCATCTAGAAAATCAAAATCTTGTTTAATAGTATCTGATTTAGCAGCGGAATTGCAATGAGTATTTAATAATGTAACATTATCTGTCCTCGAATTTGGATTATTTTTCCCAGCTTTGATATCATTTTTAATATTGACTGAAATCCAGCCAGGACTATCTTTATTAATCGATTCTTCTTTATTTACAGAAGGTTTTGATGTTGCCAAATTTCTTTTCACTCGTGCTATTTCGCCAACAGCTTGAGTTATAGATAAGAAGCTCTCTTCCGTTTTGGAATTACATATCGATTTATTTTTATTAGAGTCACATTTAATAAATTCACTTATATCAACATCACTATTGAAATCAACATCTTGTATTTCATCAATAAAATGTGCAACTTTATTCGACTTAGCAAGTTTCATAGACGCTGATAGATTAGTTCTAACAATATTATCTTCATTATGAAAAGTGTTAACGTTAGGCTCATACGATATATTAATTTCTCCTGTATTTTTAGTAAAAATGTTTGAAAGATTTGATTCCGCATTTCGCAATGCTGTATTATCCTTATTTTCTAAATCGTC